CTGCCTAAAATACTTGCGGCTGGAATTCATTAAGCCTCCCTTTGTAAGTGATCATGTGTCTCCTCTCCACTAAACACTGCCCATCTGATAATTGCCTAAACTAAAGCAATGAAATCTGGGACTTCCTATTTTATAGGCATATGCCATTTTAAAACTATCTGCATGTTTATTAAACCAGAGGGAATGCTGTTTCTGTAGTATTGCTGCTGTAATCGTCACATTGTTCCTTGATCAACACTTTATGGTCAGCAGGATTCTGTGTTTATTTTTTAAAGGGAGGAGAAGCAGGTGTCTTTAAAGCTCAGATTATTTCAATAAAAGATGTTATTGTAATCTGGTTTCTACTTTTGCTGTTCTTTTAAGAATGAAACAACTACCACTGTGATTATATAAATGACAAGAATAGAGCCACTCACCCTGGACAGCTTGTGAGTAAAACAACACCAAATACACAAATATCGAAATTAAAATCAACAAAAAATACCAAGAGAAAGCAGCAGCAACACTTTCATCACATCAGATACTTCATAAAACAGGCTGGATTTAAAACACAATAAAATAGCCTGGGTAAATAAAAAAGTATATACTTGGTGTTTGAGAGACCACAGAAAAGGTACCAGGTGACCCTCTCCAGTGAAGATATCAAAGAGCTGCAAGACCTCTCACTGGCAGCCACTCACTTCACTTGTCAGGGGCATTCAGAGATGCCCTCTGAAGAGGATATTAAGGTCCAGGTAGTCATATACTGGGGTGGCAGGGAGAACTTTCAAGTAACTTTGTCACCACGTTTATTGAGTTTATATTTCAGATGGAGGTTTAGGGATTGACAAAGAAGCTTTTCAAGAAACCTTTAACCATTTTAAACAAGATGCTCTGACCCCTCCAGTTTGCTACTAGATTTGTACTAAAGTGCTGGTCCCAGAAAATGCATCTGCCTTCATTCTCTCTCTTCTCACAACAGCACACAAGAAGTCCCTGGTTGTTGTCTGTTGCCTGGTATTGTCACTGGTCTCAACCCAGGGACCTTGCCTGGCGGAGGACTCCAATGAGGATGTGATACGTCTTCAGAGGGAGAACTGCCAGTGCACAGCTCAGCTATCACCCTCCAACTCAGAGGTCACCCCTTTCATCTGTGATACCTCTTTCTCTCCAGCCTCATGGAAGCCCCAAACTACAAAATAAGGCGAGGGCCCTATAGAGAGCCAGCAAGTCAGCCAGCCCCTCCAGAGAGGCGGTTCCTGCCACTCTCAAGGCCTAGGTCCTTGTTCCCAGAAGCAGGGACCTATGGAGCTGTGCAAGGTCTTATACATTCTCTGCTTGATATGGGCTCTTCACTGGACCCTGCATCCTTTCCCTGCAAGAACTGGACAGTCTGCTCAATTGCTTCTGCTTCTTTAAACTGTTTCATATCACTGAACTCTGAAATCATATTAAATATGTACAGCATGGTGATGCGGTGTCACGATAGCATAGCATGTGGAAACAGAATCACAGAAAAACTGTCAAACACAAAGGGTGGAAGAAATAAAAGCGAAATTTGGGGTGAGTGACTTTGTCAGGAAAGTGGGTAAAAATGAACCAGAATGATGACAGAGATATTTTGACATACCCTTAGATGAATTCCTCGTGGAAATCCACCACTGACCTTGTGCCATGACACAAAGGGATGAAATCAAGAAAGCCTGAATGGCAAGGGGTATTTATATTGGGATGGGGTGGCCAATCTAAAATAACAGGGTGTGAGGATGCTTAGTGTTGTCCTTGAGGCACACAATACTTATCACTCTGAAAAAAGCACTAAAAACAGTGACCAGGAGAGTAAAGGGGTGGAGAGAAAGCAGATCAAATCAGAAAGCAGCAAAAGCTTTGAAGAATTTGTTTAGGTTTAATTCCACAAATTTGTGGGTGACGGTAATAATGGTCTTTATAGGCCAAGTGGTTTAGAGAGTCATGAAAATTGAAAACATACCAAAACTAATGCTTTGCGAAAACAGTTGGTAAAATGTTTTCAGCTTGTGAATTACAGTGGTCTTTTGCTTCTGATAATGAGTGGCAATTGCATCCTAATGCTATTTCATTGATTTCTATTCCAGTTCAGCTCCCATGCTGGGTTCAGCCTGGGTATCAAAATACAACTATCAGCTCACCATAGGAACAGCATCGCGTAGAACCTGCTAGCTTTTTAAAGAAGAATTTTAATGGCTCTAAGAAGACAAATACGTTTCTATTATTGAAGCCCCCCCCCAAAAAAAAAACCCAACAACTGTGAATAGGATATTATATACATGCAAAAGACCTTATTTATTTATTATTTATGTTTAGGCCACCACAGTCTGAAAGAACTTGGTGGGCTGCCTTTGGTTTCCAGGTGGGGTTCCCCACCCCTGATCTTATTCTAATTTACCAAAGTACACCACAGCAGGGCAAGGGAGCCAGGACAACTGGCAAGAAGGTGGGGCCAGAGCAGTTCATGTAAAATAGGGTTAGCTAACCTGTGGTCCTTCAGATTTTGGCCTTCAACTCCTGCCTGCCAGTGGTCAGGGATCATGTAGGTTTTAGAGCAGCAACATCTAAAGAGCCACAAGTTAGCAACCCCAAATATAAAAGCAATTTTAGCTGAAGTCCAATGTTTTAGAGGATGTTGTTAGCTGAGGTGAAATGCCAAAGCAACCCCTTCCTCTAGGATAGACATTTGTCCTACTTTACACTGAACAGTGTAAAGGCTACCCAATCCAAGTTTGGTTTAAAAATAAAGACTAATCAGAAGAAAGAATAGGTTGCCCATCAATAGTTAGCACTTTAACAGCAGACTGACAAGATTTTCCCACTAAGAGATGTATTGGGTGGTTGTCAATACTAATTCTACTCAGAGTAGGCCTATTCAAGTTAATCAGATTTAGGGCAGCATGACCAGTTCTGCCACACTGGTCACTGAAACTAGGGGGTGCCATAGAGTGTCACAACTATGACATAGTGAATTGAGCAGAATGGGAGGTGAGAGGTGGGGCTGCCAAATTTTGGGCTTGCACAGGGCGCCACTAAAGTTTGAAAGACCAAAGTTTGCCCCAGAGTTGATGTACATGACCAACTTAGGTTCATTAATCTCAGTGGGTATACTCTGAGTAGGACTTAGTTGGCTGCAACCTATTGTATGAAATCACAGTAATGATCACTAAACTTGCATCTATATATATTAACAACACAGGCAAATGTAAAGCAAATCAATGTCCTCCTCTTTGGTGAAGCACTTCCTCTTTTACCCTAGTTACCCTACTGTTGTCCCTCTCATCAAAGCCTTTTGACTTCCAGCTTGGAAGGTTGAGTAAACTGGAGAGAACACAACAGCTCTTATAATATTCCTACTTCCTTAATGCAAGTTACAAATGCATGAAGCACACCTTATAAAGCTGGTCCAAAGCGCTCTAGGATTAACTCTATTTGCATAACTCTAAATTTAATGTAGTACTTCCCGTCACTAAATTGCACTTATTTGATGAAATACAAAATCCTTTAAAAGGGTTTCCTATCCTAAACCAATTTGTGAAGTTGGATTGTGTGTGTGTGTTTTTAAAAAGTATTCTATACAACATTAAAGAAATTAAAGTGATAGGCGCATAATTAGATTAATTATTCATATCTTCCAAGTCTCTAATTCTAATATATAACAAAAAGATTAAATATCCACTCAAAGGATTAAGCAAAAAGTCAAGCAGCAGCAACACATCTACATTACCTTGCTGTGCAAATTGGAAAAACTAATTAATCTCAAGTTTCACTCCAAAAATGAATTAGATATTCGTTCACACTCAACTTGGGGCACTGAACAGACATTCCAATGATGGCATGCAATGAGAACCCACTTTCTTCCTGTTCCTGAGACACACACACATGTATTGCAATAGCCCCAATTCTACTGAAGAAAATTTAAGTCTCAGGTTCAATGTACAAACTGAAAGCCTAGACTTTCTTGTTATAACTATGAAGAAAAGTACAACTCGGTAAACATCCCTGGATACTTTCATTCTGTAAAAGCTGCAGTGAATGTCCACTTTAATTTTGTCCAGCTTAATTTTGCAAAAGCCTGCAGAGAAGGAACATTTTCCTGCTTTTCATATGTCCACAAACAAATGCTTGACCATTACATTTTGACGGCAGCTAACTAGGAAAAGAGAGAACATTTGAAACAGATGTTCAAATGTTCTCTCCATTCCTAGTTAGAACCCTGACTCAGTTTCAAGTAAGGAGAATCAAGGCTGGCACATGAGCAATCCACTGCCTTATCGATACCCTGCACTTTGCTGTATGCTACTACCTCTCCCTTCTTCAAGAAGGAAAACCCATATATTGGGGAAGAAGATTAGTAGTTGACAGAAGAGTGCTCTAGAAGCAGCTGACCATTCCTCCAGGGGGGACTTTAATTCTAGGCACACCCCACCCCCAAACTGGGGATAATGAAGCTAATGCCCTTGATCTCTAGTTGGAACTGACATTTTGCGTAAATGTTCCATCCAATGAGATACGCCTGTGCCATATATTCCTAAGTGGCACAATAAGAGAAATAATTTTAAAGAACAGGACTTGAGTAAAGGAGAAGTCACATGCCACTGTAAGCCCCTCTTCTGGCCCCAGCTCTGAGGCAAACAGCAGAACAAGAGAGGTGTCTTCTTGGCCAAGAGGTCCTAAGGCTACCAGGGGTAAAGAGATGAAGCTTCACCTCATTCACAGTCAGGAAGCTGATTCACAAGATGGCTCACATGCTGCATCTACATTTGCCTTCGGTCCCCAGCGGTCAGTGGTTGGGTCTGAGCCACCATTTTCATTTCCTAGAATTTCCCTGACAGCACTACATTAAGATGGCAGCTCAAATTCAGCTGCCCTGCCCTGATCATAGTAAGCTGCCTTGTACCAAGTCAGACCATTGATCCATCTAGCTCGGTATTGTCTAAACTAACAACAGCAACTCTCCAGAGTTTCAGACAGAGGATATTCTCATCCCTAGCAGGAGATGTCAGGGATTGAACCTAGAACTTTCAGCAGGCCAAGCAGTTGCTCTCCCACTGAGCTATGGCCCTTCCCCACAGGGCTGTTGCTACTGTCCTCCCATATCTGTAAGGGCCCTCTGGCAGAGGATGGGACCCACCAGAGGACACTTTTAAAATTGCAGTCGGACATCCCCACCTGATTTCTAACGGGCAATAATTTGTGAGCATGCATGCAACTGTGGGATGCAGAACACACATAGTTTTTGCTGACTTTGTATTCTTAAAGAATAATAGTTGTAAAAGGGGAGATGCACACAGCTCCAGCACAGAGAGGTATGCTTTGTGGCTGCTGCAAGTTGTATGGAGGGGGCAAGAAGAGAGAGAGAGAGAGAGAGGGAAGAGAGGGTGTAACATTATTCCAAACTGCAGAAGGGCTGTGTCAATTGCTGTGAAGACAGCTGAAAGTTTAGAGAAATAAAGGGGGAGAACCTAGATGGAAAATAAAGCAAATTAATAAGCAGTAGATGCTTTAGAGTGTAATTATCAGAAAGAAAACACTTTGTTTAGCATACTTTATGTTAATGGAGGGCTAGTATGGCCCACTGTGCATAATTTAGCTGAACCATTGTTACAACATTTTAATACTTATATAGATATATATATGATTACAGCTACAAGGAAAAAAAGACCAAAGCACAAGAGAGATCATAATAAGCACACGTGAACTCTGAAGGCCTAATTACATCACGGGGGAGGGTGAACAGTTACTGCTGATTCAAGCAGAAAATTGGGGTAATTTGTAAACAGGTAAAGCTCCTTTCCAGGTGCAACAGCATGCGTGTGGGAGCGAGGTGGAGATCCTGGAGCAAGAGGCTACCTTCCGCCTTAGAAACACTGTGTTACACTCCCCTACACTTTAAGCCAGGAGTCCTACATAAAAGCAGGGCAAATGATACCTCCAAATTCAAGAAAACCATGGAGCTGATTTTTTATTTTTATTTTTAAGACTTTGACTGCTGTTCGGATTAATCAGATTTATTCTTTTCAAGTTTCTGATTCTGGTTCAGAAACTTGATGGTGGATGGTTTGGTAACCAGTTTGGCAAAAGTTTGTCCCCTAACAAAGGATACAAGAAAGAGAAGATTGGTCCTGTGTGAAATTCCCACTCACTCATACAGGGGTTCAGGTAGGGAATACTAGACTCTAGAATTATGTCGCTCATTTTTAGAGGGATATCAGTTCACTTTCTTCCAAATGTGGAAAACCAGCCCTGTTGTGTTTGGGGGTCCTGTGGCCCATTCTGCTTAGTAGGACTTCTGCCCGAAGCTTCTGCCTTGATGGCACCACTCCCTTCCTTTTACCTTTTTGCATTCCCCTACTGAAGTGGAGCCGGGACAGGAAACACATAGGTTAATGACACCTTGGATGCAGGGCAAGTTGGAGTATGTATTAATTACAATGGGGGGGGGGCAGGACTTCAGCACAGAGGAGTAGCTTTTGGTAGCAAGTCTATATTTTGGGAACTGGTCATTTTGCCCAAAGAAATAACTTGATTTCTGCCGACCAGAGCTGTGCACCAATGACCTCTCAAATTTTAACATCCTATTTCTAGAAACTAAGGAAATGGGAAAATGAATTTCTCCCAATTTTTCATGGGAGATGGGGCTTCAACATCGGCAGTGGCAATAGCAATAGCACAGCTTCTCCCCCACTCCTCTTTTTGTACTGTTGTTGCTCTGCTGCTACTGTCTCTCCAAATAGTCACAGCAGCAATCTTTTTGCATCTTTCACAATGTGGCAGAACAACTCAGCTGAGGCTTTGTGGGATAGGTGGTGGAACAACAACCCTCACCCCCCACGCTAAATGGTGGTGAAAGTTATGCAAAGTGGTCTTCTTTTTCTGGTGGGTGGTTGAGAAAAATAAAAAAAAATATCTGAGTTTTTCAGGCACATGTCTTCTGAGAAATTTCTGCTCAGCTCTACCACCAACAGTTTCTTAAAGCCCCTACACAAGTTCTCAGATTCATCTAGTGTGGACACTGCAGATCAGCTGTGAGTGACATCTAATTTAGCCTAGGTTAGCCCTGGCCCCAGATCAACTAGCAACTTCAGCTCAGCACCAGCTCATGGTGAACCAACTGTATGGAAATAGCTCAATTTCAGAAAACATCTTGAAGCAAACACTTTCTGCTATCTGGTGGAAAATGTTAGAGTTATGTGGGGACAAACACAAACACTTATTTTTAATCTGTACTGGTATAAACACTGGCTCACCCTCAGTAACTGGAAGCCATTATTTTCATAGGAAAATAACTGTGACTGGAAGTGATCACTCACAAGAACGTGTGTCATCATCTGATAAAAAGGTGCTCCACCACATTAGTATACGAGGAAGGTCATGTATGGAAAGAAGGGAGGCTGTGGAGGAGGGAATGTACCTACATGAATTGTCCATTCATTATTTATGGCCATAAAGATTTGGTGCCCTGGAATCAGTGACATTAAAAGCTATTTTAATTTGAGCTATAATTCTTTTTTGTGCTTTCAGCAATTGACAGCATCTCAGATAAACATTCATTTGGGACTGCCAGATTAAAGAAGGGGTGGGTGGGGAGGAAGGAAAACAAAACTGATGGTATCTTACTTCCCCCTCCACTCAAATTCTTGCTGGACGATTCTTGCTCAATGCTCTGCCCACTTAAACAGCATGTGTATGATTAACTGCAGATGTATTCAGCAGCTTGCATATGTGGTTAATTTGCTCTGAATTTCCACGCTGTATTATAACACTAATGATCACTAATAACAGACAAACCCACAGTTTATTGAGTAAGTAATTGGAGACATTATTATTTTCACCATCCGAAAGGGGATCAGGCCGACCAATTCAAGCTGGCCAATACGATAAATAATGTGTAAATCAATCTCAGAAACAGCATGCTCCGCTTCTTTGCAAAATGATAGAGATTGATTGGCAGAGAGAGGGGGGCATACTTGCTGCTATTTCTAGGAAATAAAGTCAATAAAAGTCCATGTTCAAGAAGCAAAAGGTCAGGTGTGGAAGACAGTTTGATCCTGCTGCAAAACAGATTTTGCCACCTCAGTACATGGAAGTCACATGGCCTTGCACTTATGCTCTAATGGGGAAAGCTTGTGGCAATGGACACTGTCAGCATCTACTCCCAATTGTCCCTACAAATAGAAACAGTATCTCCCCCCCCTTCTTATCCCTGGCAATTTATTATCCCTTTTTCATCCCTAACTTTTTGCCAATGGGATATGCCATGTTAAAATGTTGCTAGCTGTTGTTGAAACTCATTTATTGAGGTTCAGCTTCCTCCCCAGGGACTCTTGAAGTTATATCTCTGAATCAGAGATGAATGCCTCCTGTCTCTAGTGCACATGCACAAAAATATTTGATGCTGCAAGTCAGAATTGTCAGTCATCAAGGGTTTAGCTTGCTCCCCATGATCTCTAGACGTTAACTAGCTTAGTGGATCAGATATATCAGAGGGGGCAAAGCCTGGGGCCCCCTAGATGGAGCTGGATGTTAGCTCCCATCATCCCTGACCATTGGCCATGCTGGCTGGGGCTGGTTGGAGTCCACCAGAATCTGGAGGACTGCAGGTTCCCAGCCCCTAAGATACATCTTGTGTATAGTGGACAAGTAGATCAATGCCTGCACATGAACACTAAAGCACTGAGAAGCACAGAGCTTGTCATTTCACACACACTAGCTCCTGAGTTATACTTTGAACTGCTGACTGTAGGACAGTTATGTATTTCCAAAATTATCTTTAAGCAAAAGAACTGATGCCCTGTTGGCTTTTTCATTAATGAGGGATGGTGTAAAGCAATATAGTAGATGGTAAACAGCCTCTTTAAGGGAAGGGGAGGGGGGAAAGAAGTCCTCAGTATGTAGGGTTGCCATATTTCAAAAAGTGAAAATCACATTCTAGCCGTTTTTTGAAAATTCCGCCTGGATGCTATTTTTGACACCCAGCTATGTCTGGGAAATTCTGGACGTATGGCAGTCCGACCAGTATGAGAGTTGAGAAAATTCAAACACAAATCTCTTTTTGTCTTTAGATATTGAAGGGTGTGTCAGGATCCACCCAATTCAAATCAGAAGGGTTTACTCACTCCACTGGAGCCATTTGTGAAGAGCCATTGAAAGGTGCAGAGTGGAGATGGATGGATTGTTTAATCCTGCCAAATCTCAGAGGTTCTCTTCTACGAGCACCTGTGACCACCCGTTCTTCGTTCTCTAACATGGCTGTCTGACCCAGTCACACTTGTGTCTAAATCTCAGTTATAGCTTGGCTCTTATCCAGCTGACTTTGACCAATAGGGGCTTTAAGACAAATGATCTATAATGCTCCTTTGAAGAGGATTGTCTTGTGATAATTCATTATGAAGGAAGATGAATAAAGATATCATTTAAGACTATGGGTGATATTCAATGAAGTTTTATTCAAAGTAGATCCTTGAAAATTAATGAGTATGACTGTTAGGTCCATTCATTCATCTGTATCTACGCTGAACAAATCTTAGCTAAATATCACTTCTGGGTTTTATGTGAACTTTCACATGGTGGTACATGTTTCTAATGAGCATGTTTTCATGGGGTAACAGTTGGGTGTCAGGTAAAAGGCTCCACAGATAGAAACACAAGCAGAAAGGATTCACCCAGAAGATACAAGAAGTTGTGGGTTATTCCCTGCTATATCTTCTAAGGAAAATTGGATGAGAGGGCATGGTGATGTCTTTGAACACCTAGGGCCCAAAGTAACAGCTTATTGCAAAGATTTCCATTCTCTTATAAAGGAAGCCTTTCTCTGATGGTAGAAGCTCTTGCTGTCAGCAGAAATGAACCTTAATCTTTATTCACAGTATTTCTTCTGACAAAGGTCAATTTAACAGCAGCAGCTTTTATCTTCAAACATATTTCTTGGCATATATGTTGTGAGAAATATTTCGCACCTTGTAAACTTCTAGACAGCTCTCATGAGCCTGTGATGAGGATTCATGAACTGCACAAAGCTGGCATCCATGAGATAATCTGAATCACTATATGGCTTCTGGAAAT